GTTTGGGGGAGACGCTGTTTCCCCTAGCGCCCGCTGGCATAACAAGGAGTAATGGGCACAAGCTGATGGAGAGGAGGTATAGATTGGACATCCGCAAAAACTACTTCACGGTTAGGGCGGCTAGGAGCTGGAACCAACTTCCAAGGGGAGTGGTGCTGGCCCCTACCCTGGGGGTCTTTAAGAAGAGGCTGGATGCCTACCTGGCTGGACTCGTTTGAGTCCCATTTCTCTTTTTGGGGTTTTTTGTTGTTCTCCCGCCCTGGCGGGGGGTCAGGCTAGAAGATCTACTAGGTCCCTTCCGACCCTTAATCTATGAATCTATGAATCTATGAATCTACCCTGCACCTGCTCCGAACTTGCCCACCCAGACTCAGCAGTGGTGGCAGCTGGGCAGAAACTTGCTCAGCATGGGAGAAAAGCAGACCCTCCCCCTTGCCACAGCTGGGCCTTTCTTGCTGCCGCTACCTGGAGCCCATGCTGGACTGACCTACATTTCTGCTACCTCCAGGCTGTCCAGTGGGGCAGTGGTGGCAGTGCAGAGCAGACACAGGGCAGCCTGGTGCAGGCTCTGGGCAGTTGCAGCAGGAAGGGCCTGGCAGTGGTGAGGGGGAGGGTCTGCTTTTCCTCCACACTGAGCAAGAGTTCCCTACACTGAGCAACACCCACCGCTGCTGAGTCTGGGCTGGTGAGTCTGGAGCAGGTGCAGGACAGGCTGGGTCTTGGCTGTGTGGCACAGCTCCCCCAGGGTACTGTGAGGATGGGGCCAGCAGTGGCAGCCACCAGAAGGAGCCGCTGCCATCTGGGCTGCCTAGAAAGGCAGTCCAGCTGCAGAGCCACCCCAGCCCCTCTGTGTATCCAGGTGGTGGCAGGATGCATTGTGGGCGGGTGGTGTGAAGCAGGTACGGGGTGGGCTGGATCAGGGCTGGGCCTGGCTTCCAGATGATCTGCTCCCACAGGGGTGAGTCCCCATGGGGTGGTGTGGAGCTGGGGCTGTACTCTGTTGACAGTGGCAGGGAGGTGCCACATGATGCATGGGCTC